TCTCCCTCTCCCTCTCCCTCTCCCTCTCCCTCTCCCTCTCCCTCTCCCTCCCCCTCTCCCTCTCCCTCTCCCTCTCCCTCTCTTCATACCCCTCACTCTTCTCAACAGATGACAACGAGTCCTTCAAGCATCCTGCTGTCCGCAAGACGCTAGAGCTCAAGTGGCAAGGATTTGGCCTCAAGATTTTCTGCCTCAAGGAGATCAGTTATTTCCTCATGCTCCTGACCTTCATGCTGGGACATGTCAGGGATCCGTCGTCGTGCGACCCGAACGCAGTGGTGAAGTTTGTTTGTCGTCTTGTTGACGTTGATGCTAATGACGATGCTGATGTTTTGCTACAGCAGCAGCTGCTGCTGCTATTTGTTGTTATTGTTGTTGCTGTTTGTGTGGTTGCTGCTGCTGCTGCTGCTGCTGCTGCTGCTGTTTGTGTTGTTGTTTGTGTTGTTTCTCTCCTTCTCTTCCTCCCTCCTCTGCTGCTCCTGAAACGATCATGAAGGGCATAAGGATTCTTCTTGTTATCATCGCTATTGGCACCCTTGCAGTTCAGGTTTTCAGCTCATCCCAACTTGCAATCTTGTCTCTTACTTTGCTGTTCTTCACAGATTTTAATGATCGCATCTCAACTTAAAAGGAAGTTGATGTTGCCTGTATCGATAGGAAGGTTCACGATGCATCTACCCAGGTGAGGAGGAGCGGAGATGAATATATTGACGGTGCCGATAGCACGGATTATGATGTTGAATTGTTGTTGTGGTTACCATCGTTCATTATCATCGTCATTTCCTCTTGTCTTTTAATGTGATCATTATCATTTTCTTCAACTCTCGTCATAGTCAGCGTCGTCATGATCTTTATGATTGCACAATCAGTGTTTGTTCAGCTGTTTCTGTTCGTATCTCGTTCCGTCTTTGTGTTGATCCCTCTTACCTCAGAGGCCTCGTGGGTCTATGGAATATCCTGAGGATTGTTACTTGTGTCATCATCATCATCGCATTTGCCAACCAGGTTGAGAGGAGAGGAGAGGAGAGGAGAGGAGAGGAGAGGAGAGGAGAGGAGAGGAGAGGAGGGGAGAGAGGGAAGGGAAGGAGCTAACGAGCAGGCGCAGTCGTGCGATATTGTCGACTGCTCGCTGGATCCTAACGCAACGGAGTGTGTTGGTCTCAACATGACCACAAGAGGTCTGATATGTGCCTTGCTGTCTTCTCCTCTCGTCCCGTCCCCCTCCTCTATTCCTCCTCCTTCATCTGTTCCCCTTCTCTTTTCCCCCCATCTCCCTTCCCCTCTTCTTCTCCATCTCCATATCTCTCTCTCACTCCTCCTACTCTCCCCTCTCCCTCTTCCCTCTCTTCTCCCTCCCCTCTCTCTTCCCCCCCTCCCTCTCCTTCTCTTCCGTGTTCCCTTATCCTTCCTTCGCTTGCTCATGTTCGTGTCCAGCATTTTCCCGGCAGCTTCTCGCCAAGGCGAAGGCAGACACCTCCATCGTCAAGAGCTCTGCCGCCATGTCCAACTATGCCGGCCAGACTGCTCTAGCCATTGCTGCAGTTCTCCTGTGGGTCCAGATGTTTCAGGTGCGAGCAGAGGAGAGGAATGGAGGAGGAAGTTGAGGGAGAAGACGAGGGAGACGACACGAGGAGCAGGAGCAGGAGCAGGAGCAGGAGCAGGAGCAGGAGCAGGAGCAGGAGCAGGAGCAGGAGGGGGTCCAAGGAGAGGCGAGGAGAGGAGGAGGAAGAAGTTCAAGGAGAGGAGAGGAGACGTTCATACTCTCTGCCCAGTATCGTCTGACTAGATTTTCAGCTAAGCATCCTATCGACTCCTATGGCAGCCTTCACCTACACCATCGGCATCATGTTCGGAGATCTCTATCATTCTCTCTTCATGATTCTCATCCTCATCGCCGCCTTCGGCTCTGCCCTCACCATCCTCGGAGACCCGCCGTTCGATCAGGGATGGGACAGAACCATCGTGCTCCTGCTGCAGGAGGTGAGGCTGGACCATGGAGGAGGAGGCGTGTGCGGTGGAAGGAGGAGCAGCAGGGGCAGCAGGGGCAGGGGCAGGGGCAGGGGCAAGGGCAGGGGCAGGGGAGGGAGGGAGCGACGGAGGGAGCGACGGAGGGAGCGACGGAGGGAGGAGGGGGCAACGGAGGGAGCGACGGAGTGCTGACGGTGCTCAGGTGCTTGGAGTGGCTCAGCCTCTTTACTCGGACATCTCCTCCTTCACCCGATTCCTCCTCCTCTTCTTCGTCATGTACGGCAGAATCCCCTAACTACCTCTCCGCTCTTCCTCCTCCCCCTTCTCCCTCTCTCCTCCTCCTGCCCCCCTCCCTCTCTCTCCCTCTCTCTCCCTCTCTCTCCCTCTCTCTCCCTCTCTCCCTCCTCTCACTTCTACTCAGTTGCGTCACCATCGGGATGCTCAACATCCTCATCGCTCAGCTCACCATCACCTACGACAAGCTCTCGGCTGACAAGGAGGGCTTCGCCATGAAGCATAGGTCAGCTCCTCCTCCCCTCCCTCCCTCTCTCCCTCCCTCCCTCCCTCCCTCCCTCCCTCCCTCCCTCCCTCCCTCCCTCCTTCCCTCCCTCCCTCCCTCCCTCCCTCCTTCCCATCCTCTTTCCCTCACCCCCGTTTCTTCCATGTAATTTCTTCTCCTCAGAACGTGCATGAGTTTATCCGTGAGTGGCTCGCCAAGATGTACGACGAGGAGACTGCTCAGAACACCCGCATCCTGTGCGACCAATCTCTCTTGCTGCTCCTCCTGCTCCTCCTGCTCCTCCTGCTCCTCCTGCTCCTCCTGCTCCTGCTCCTGCTCCTCGTCCTCGGCCCTTCTCCTCTTTCCTCCCCTTAACACCCTCTCCCCCTCCTCCCAGCCTTCCATCCTCTGGCTTCCTACCTCCCTCCCCCCTCCTCTGTCCCCTCCTCCCCGCCTTCTATGCTCTGACTTGGCAACAGCTACGGTGGGTCCGTCACTCCAGACACTGTTGACGAGTTGATGAAGAAACCTGGTAGCCCTCCACCACCACCACCACCACCACCTCCTCCTCCTCCTCCTCCTCCTCCTCCTG